GGGGAGGGGAGGGGAGGGGAGGCAGCCTGCCAAAGCCAGCCACAGAAGACTGAAGACCGCTAGCCCTGCCCCAACACCCCAAGTGCCCAGACGCCCCCTCATACACAGACAGAAACAGAAAGACAGAGATGCTCATCCTGGGTGGAACTGCTGCTGCTACCTTCCCCACCCGCCCTCACACACTAGCTGCAGGAAGTCCAACCACATGGTTGGCCTTTGCCATCCTCCCCACCCCCGACCCTACCACCCGAGCCCGCCCCAGCTCCCCCACTGCACCAAGCTCCTGGGAGCTCCCGGCACCCACATTCCCCCATCTGTCCTGTTCATGCTGTCAGGCCCAGGCTCTCAGGATGCCTCTGGCAGTATCCTGAGAGCCTCATGCCAGATTTGGTCACCTGAGTCCCTTCAAGGCCAGGCCAGTCCCTGCTCTACATTCATAACACACTTGAGTTCACTGAGTCCTTCTCAGCTGTCAGTTCCCAGGGACCAAGTCTCAGCCAAACCTCTCACCCCACCACATGACCCTGCCCCATACCCACAGTGGAGCCCTGCCCCCGCACAGCCTGAAGAAACCTCCCTCAGCCCTGGACTACCCAGCAGGGCTTATCCTCGTGAATGCACATTTATAACATGGCTTCTGGGCACCTGACACCAAGCAAGGTGCTGGAAGAAAGATAATGAAACAAATGTCAACTACTCACAACAAGCAAGATGGATCTTACAAGTAACGTGAGGCAAAAGAAGCAAGGCCCAAAAGAAGATATGAGATATGGTTTCATTAAGCAATATTCAAAAAGAAGTCATTTAGGAAAGCACATATAGGTGGTAAAACTAAAGAAAAGCTAGGAAATGATTATCATAAAGTCATGCTAGTGGGTATGTCTCAGGGGGAGGGGGCATCGTAATCAGGAAGAGAGATACACAGCCTCTGGAGTGGTGGCAATGGTCTAGTCCTTTCTCTTAGTCGATATCTGCTTTATAATTACCCGTTAAACTCTGCATTTAAGTGTTATGCCAGTTTTGGTTTATATATTTTACAACTCAAAAGTTTTTTATAACTTTTAAAAACTAATTTTTATTTTTTTTTGTAAAAATTTAAAAATGAAAAATAAGTCCCGTGGATTCCAAGACCTTTGTGGTTACATCCCGAGAAAGAGAAGAGACCAAGAGAAAGGCAAAGGGCAGACCCTGCCCACAGAGTTGTCTGGGGAGAGGCGCATCACCTGCCAGAGTTGCGTTGTGAGCGTCCTATAAAAGTATGAGTTCTAAGATCCACTGGCCAGTGACAGGCCCGGAATGGGACGCCAGGGAGACCAGAGAAGGCAGGCACGGTCAGAAATGAAGCTCTTGGGGCCATGTCCCCTCTAGGTTGCTGATGAGAGGATAAACTAAGAGTCTCTCTGGAAAGCAATTTGTCAAAATATGCATAAAGAGCCTTTAAGATGTTTATGACCCATAGCCCAGTCATTTCGCTTCTTGGAATCTCCCCCAAGGAAAATAATCCGAGAGGCAATTCACGCATGAGGATCTTCATCACAGAGTTATTTACAATAGCAAAAGAGCAGACATAACACAAGTGTCTGAACAGAATAGAGAACTGGTTAAATAAATATGGCACATCCATATAGTAGTGTCCAACTGCTACAAGACACAGTCTCAAAGAATATTTAATGATGTAGGAAATGTTCATGCTGCAATTCTTGTTTAAAAAAGGCAACAGGATATAAAACGTACAATAAGATCTGTCTGGGTTTTTTTTTAATATGTATATGCACAGGAAAGATATCTAAATGCTCACATTGGTTATATCTGGGTGATAGAATAAATAAAGGTTTGGAAATGGGGAGGAAGAGAAGGAAAAAGAGAGAAAAGCAGGGGAAGGGAGATCTAAATAATCTCAGGCTACCAGCTAGTACTGGCCAAAAATGTTTGCTAAGATGTCTGATGGCCAGACAAGATGCCAGACCTCAAGGCTCTCTCCCTTGGTCATCTCCAAACAACAAAGCACTGGAGGAGCCAGGAAGCAGAACCCTCAGCCCACAGGCCCTGTGACAATACAACCAGCAGCTGTAGCATGTCTGCAATGGCCCCAGAGAAAGGGGAGGGGGAGGGGGAAGG